GCTATCTTTCTAAGCTGGAAGTCAATAGGAGCTGTAATTCATTTCTGTACAGAAAGAGACCCCAGATTTCCCTGCCAGCTAATGCTGAAGTGCAGCAGAGGGTGGATTTAGATTAGTTAGCAGAGGGTGGGGAGGCCCTGGCACAGGCTGTCCAGAGCAGCTGTGGCTGCCCCATCCCTGGAAGTGTTCAAGGCCAGGCTGGATGGGGCTTGGAACAACCTGGGCTAGTGGAAGGTGTCCCTGCCCATGGGAGGGAGGCTGGGAGCCTTAGAGTCCCTTCCAACCCAAATCATTCTATGAGTTGATGATTATTTTGCCACACTGAACCTCACACCAGGTTTGCATTATCCCTGAAAATATGAAATCCCATCAAGTTCATAGGCATCATCTGAAAACCAGAGGATGCTTGGGATGAATCCTTGCCTCATCTGTGTGAACAAGCAGTATTTAACAAATACAGACTCTGAGATACACAGAAAAGTGTGTTTGAATGGCTGCTGTTAAGAAACGTCTTCTGAACTAGTTACTGAGGTCCTTGAGTTAGGGCTGAATCCTTCTTGTTTATGAGAAAATGCCTTTTATCTGTAAATAATCTCCACTCCCCTTCCCCCCCTTCCATCCCCCCCCACCCTTCACAGACTTTTGCTCAATTGTTTATCTGTGGAAGGTTACTGCATTTCTCCATGGAACAAAGAAAGAGCTATTTTCCCTCACAATGTGCTGTCTTTGTTTCACATGAATATATTAACAAGAAAAGTAGGAAATCATGGGCTTTGTCATCCTATTTATTCTGGGAACCCTGATTTAATTTTGGAGGAAAATGAGTTTTCCTTGAGGTAGAAGTCCCATCTGTAGTCATGAGCAGCTAAGCTTTGCCTTTCTACAAAGCAGCAGCATCCTGTCTGACTGGGACTATCCTTCCCATTCCCTTTCCTTCCTCTTTTGCTTCCAGCCTGGCATCTCATTTTCCCTGTGGCTCTGAGAATATCATGTGGGAAAGAGCGAGACCTAGGGTACCATTTCCTTCAGTTTTGGGTAGTAGAAACTACTTTGCTTTGACTAGATACTGTGCTTGATCTCCCACTTGATTTCCTGGTTTTGTGTGGTGTGGATAATTGCAGTCATAAAACCTTCACCTTCCTCCTCTGAGGGGGTGGGAAAAGCTCCCAGTTTCACTATGCAGTTTATTTCACTGTAATAATAACAATAACAATAATAATAATAATAATAATAATAATAATAATAATAATTTGAGTTTGGGAGACTTCTTCACAGGAAAGGGAAACTGTCATCAGTCACATGGCTATAAATAGAGGCCAGCTCTCTAGAGCCTATGATGCAGGAATAACAAACTGCAATATTTGTGTTTAAAAAAGTAGTAGTAAATTAATCTAATCATGGGCTTATGTATATTGTTTTTGTCTCAGCCAATAAGTGAAAAGTATCAAGACAGTTGGCTTGAGATCTCCTACGAAGCAGCCCACAGTATTCTGTAAATAGCCCAACAAGAAATACTTGCTTTGTAGGTTTTTGGTGACACAGAAAGAGGCAAAACTTCTCATGCTTTTTAAAAGCTGGAAATTCTGGATGACTGATGAATATAACACCCATAATGCTCCAGGATTTTATTATCTATATTAATAAAATTCATTCAAAGGGTTTAATTTCTGCTCCGCAATCAGATCAGTGTGACCAGCACTCAGCAGACTCAGAGGAGTTTATTGGGAGCTGGTCCTCTGGAACTTGGCACACATCCTGAATGGTGGGCAACCAAAAGGCATCAACAGCTAAAGGGAAAGGCTGGCAGACAGGATGTGTGTGGTCTGAACTGGTACAGGTGATCAGCCAGAAGCATTGTTTTCTTCTTTATTACAAATTATATAGGAGGTTAATGTGTTAGGTTACTAAAACCCACTGACAGACTGTGAAAAGGAGCACAACCACATTAATGTGTTAGGTTACTAAAAATGTGTTAATGTGCTAGGTAACTAAAACCCACTGACAGACTGTGAAAAGGAGCACAACCACATTCCATGGGTTGCCCATGAAGAGAGTGTGTGTGGAACAGGTGGCTGGAGGCATTACCTGGGCAAAGAGGTCATTGTGTTAAACCAGAGCAACCAGTTCAGACTTGCTCGGCACGAGGTGCATACGTAAACATCCTGTCTCCTCTTCTGTCACCTCCTGGCTATGTGTCCTTCTGCTCTGCAGCAGTGGAACAGGATCTGCAGAGGGGAACAGTCTCAGTAACTCCCCGATTTTTGGACCTTGACCCATTGCAAGTGCTCAGAGAGGCTTGGCTGTGTGGGTGTGGAGCAGTGAGGTGTCCTGGCAGCCTGGTGCTGGGAGATCCCTCTGCAGGAATGGTGCTGGGCTGGGGGTAACACAGGTGGGATGAGACAGCAGCCTCGTGGGTCTCAAAGGACACAGGGGTGCAGGGGTGTGCTGCTGTGCACACAGGGACAGAGTGCAGTGAGCTTGAGAGTCTCCTCTCCTGTACTTGAACCAATTCAAGCAACTGGAGCAACTTCTCCCTTTAACATTTGTAACATAAAATGTTTTTTGTAAGAGCCTGTTCTTCTGAATCATTTTCCCTCCTCCTCTCTCTCATTTGCAGAAATGAACTTTAATCCTAGGGTACAGCTGAAAGTTTGCAAGGCAAAAATCACAGACTGCTGAGATTTTCTTATGCCTGCAAGGGATTCAGTAAGGATCTAAACAGTGAAAACAAGGACCAGCAATTAGTATTTGGATGCAGGATCATTTTTAGCTCTCTACATAGGGCAGGCAATGCCATGAGCTATAGAGCATTGCAGAGCTCTGCTCAAGTGGCTGCCTCAGCAAGGGCAAGGCTGCTGTTCAGGCCATGTGAAAAGGCAGTAATAGGAGGTGTGCAATACACAAAGAAAACACAACTAATAAAAGATTAAACACTATTATTATGTGAAAGAGCATTAGAGCAGCAAAATTATTTTGAGGAACTGGTTCAGTGCCAGCTTGTTAGCAAAACATGGAATAGTTTTACAGACATTTGCACAAAGATGGAGAGAGAAGGGGAAAGAATGCCAAATGCAATCTGTGGGAAAAGGCTCTTCTACCCTCAGTAAAGGTAAGAAGAGGCAGAAGGGAAGTCAGCATCATCAAGGAGGACACACTTCACATTGCCTTCAAAATGGAAACTTTGACACAGACTGAGCAGACAATCATTAAAGGTGGAGAAGACCTCCAAGATCATCAAGTCCAGCCTTTGACTAAACACCACCTTGTCTACTAAACCATAGCACTAAGTGTGATGTCCAGTCATTCCTTGAACACTTCAGGGATGGACACTCCACCACCTCCCAGGGCAGACCATTCCAGAGTTTGAAATCTTTACTGTAAAGGAATTCCTTCTGATGCCCAACCTGAACGTCCCCTGGTGCAGCTGGTCATTTCCTCTTGTCCTGTGACTGGTTGCCTGGGAGAAAATGCCAAACTTCACCTTTGTACAGCCTCCTTTCAGGTACTTGTAGAGTGATAAGGTCTCCCCAGGCTAAAACCTTCAGCAGCTCAATGTCCTTCCTGAACTGAGGGGCCCAGAACTGGACACAGCACTCGAGGTGTGGCTGGGCACCTGCCCTGGTGCCAGAGTACCAGACCTGCCCTGGTCCTGCTGGCCACACTACTGCTGATACAGACCAGGAGACCACTGGCCTTGCCCACCTGGGCTCATGCTCAGCCACTGCCAAGCAGCACCTCCAGGCTCTTTTCCACTGGGAGGAGAAGAACCAGCCCTCTGCCCCAGCCTGTCTGCAGGGGGTTGCTGTGGCTGCAGGGCAGGACCTGTCCTTTCACCTTGTTGACCCTCACACTGTCTGCCTCAGCCCATTGATCCAGCCTGTCCAGAGCCCTCTGCAGAGCCTTCTTACCCTCCAGCACGTCAACAGCCACCCAGCTTGGTGTCATCTGTGAACTTACTGAGGTGCTCTCCAGCCTAATAAAGATATTAAACAGGACGGGGCCCAATACTGAGCCCTGGGAGCCCCACTAGTGACCAGTGACCAACTGAATGTGGCACCACTCACCACCACTCTCTGCACTCAGCCATCCTGGCAGTTTTTAACCCTTTAGAGAAGAGTGGGCTCCAAGCCATAGGCTGCCAGCATCTCCAGGAGAATGCTGTGGGAGACAGGTAGGTCACTTAGTCATAAAAGTATGTTCCATTTTATTAAGTTCTCAGACTAAAACCAACTCCAGATCTATTTGCATTTTCTTACCCATCCTCATACAGTTACTTTTATTGGTCTTCAAACCACACTGACTGTTCATTCTGTTCTCAGTTTCTCCTGCTCTTCTCCTAGACAAACTGTTCAGGCATTGATCTAGTGATCTTAACTGCAGCATTCAGTGGAGAAAACAAGTTTGCAGGCTGAACATCCCTTCAAGAGGTCCTCAGTCCTCCTGCTTTGCCTGGAGAAAAGCATTTTTCTGGGATTTATTTTCTCCTGTAAAGCAGAGAACAGTAATGTTAAATGCTTAGGCACAAGTAATTGACAAGACAGCAGAGGCAGCTTCTCCATAAAAAAAGAAGCTCTCTCTTCTCCTGGTGGACATGAACAGATGTAGCCATGCTGTAAATATTTCATTGTTTAAATGGACACATACATCCGCATTGTAGATGCAATATAGGTAAAAGACATACATAATAATATACGATTATGTATATAAATATGATAATATATAGTATCACATAGAGGTCAATATATTTCAAAAAACTGACCCATCCACCCATCTTCTGGCTAATTTTGAGGCATCAGCCTCTTGCCCAGCAGGATCACAAGTCCCACAGAACACCTGAGGCTTTTCTAGGAATGGAGACCAAACTCTGCAGAGTGATTTCTACCCAATACTACTCCACTTTTTTGCTACTGAAAAAAAACCAAAACCCAAACCAAATAAAGAAAAAAACCCTAAAATTAAAAAAAAAAAAAAATCATTTTAGGAAGCGGGAAGACGAGCAAATGGATGAAGCGTTCGGTCCTGCCCGAGGAGTCTCCGGTACCCCCGTGCCCGCACCCACTCTCGGGCTGGGGTCGGTGCCGGCTCTGTGCCCGTCCCCCAGCGCGGTGCCGCCGCCCGCCCGGGCCCTCCCGGCAGNCGGGGCGGCGGGAGCACCTCCGTGGGAGCGGCCGCGGGACGCGCTGCCCGCAGCAGGTGCCTCCGGGCCGCTGCTCCGGCCAGCCCCGCGGGCTCCCGGCATCCCAACGCGCGGAGGCGGCGGGCGCGGCGGCGGCTCCGCCACCACCACCTGTGGCGGCGGGATGGCGGAGCTCGACATCAGCGCGGAGGCAGTGATGGGCTTCCTGAGGGAGCGCGGCGGGCGGGTGCGCAACACCGAGCTGGTGAGCGCCTTCCGGCCGCTGCTGGAGGCCGCCGGGGCCGGGGCCGGGGCCGGGGAGGCGGAGGGGCGGGCGGCGCGGCGGGAGCGGTTCAAGGCGGCGGTGAACGCCGTGGCCACGGTGAAGGAGATCGACGGCGTCAAGTTCGTGGTGCTGAAGCGGCAGCTCCGCGCTGCCCCGCCGGCGGGGGGCGATGCCGGCGCCCCTGTCCCGGTTCCCGTCCCCGACCCCGTGGCCCGGCGGGAGCCGCCGCCCAAGCCCTGCATGCTGCCCGTGCGCTGCGTGCCCGCCCCCGCCGCCCCGGGGCCAACCGAGCAGCCCAGCCCGCTGTCCCCCCCGCCGCTGGACGAGGAGGCCGGGTCCCGCTCGCCCGGGCTGCGGAGGGGGCCCAAGAACCACCGGGCCAGCGAGGAGACGGTGGTGCCCCTGGAGCATGCGGAGCACCAGTGGCTGCTGCTGGCGGCCGACGGGCAGTGGACACAGCAGCTCCACGGGCTGCTGCTGGGCGACGCCAGCCTGGCGGCTCGCAGGGACTTCATCTCCGGCTTCACCGCCCTGCACTGGGCCGCCAAGAGCGGCAACTGCGACATGGTGACCAACATCATCCGAGCGGCCGAGAAGGGCGGGTCCCGTGTCAATGTGGACGCCAGGTCGCATGGTGGCTACACGGCCCTGCACCTGGCTGCTATCCACGGCCAGGAGAAGATCATCACCATGCTCGTCTACAGCTACCATGCCAAGATTGACCTGAGGGACTACAGTGGGAAGAAGCCGCACCAGTACTTAAAGGAAGGGACCTCCCTTACAATTAGGCGTTTGCTGGGGGACCCCAGCCTTTCCCAAAACATGGAACACTCCGTGCCCATCAAGAAGTCTACAAAGCTTGCGGCTTCAATCTTGAGCTCCACGAGCACTTTCCTGGGAGTCATATCCGATGACATGGCTTTCTATGATCTCACCAAAGGTTTAAGGAAGCCCTCAACTTTGAACAAGCTTCTGACTGCCACCACGGGCCCGAGGAGGAAGCCAAAGATCAGAGGGGGCTTCCCTTCATATTCCTCACTCTCTGAGGTAGCGGAGGAGGAGGAAGAGGTTGTCGTGAAACGCAGACCCGTTTCTGAGCTGTTCTTTGGCCACTAGCCTCTGCCTTGCTGTGATCAACATGGTTTAATAGCACGGCTGCTGTCTCAGCTTTCTCTTGCAGAAGCAGTTTGGATTTTTTCTCTCCTTGTCTTTCTGGATTTTTAACTGAATCAGTGGTAGGGTCTACATCCAGAGCCCACAGCGTGGAACGCAGCCCCAGGTGCCCGTGGAAGGGGAGCTGCCAGGAAGAGCTGTCCATGCTGTATGTACCATCGTGCTGACCTGTTGGTGGAGACCACAGACTTTATACTTAATGGTTGAAAAACTAAAACACCTTTTGTGTGTGTGGACAGGTAAAAATGCCTGAGGTACAGCCTCGTTGATCTATGTTCTTCAGCTGGAGGGCAGAAGCAAGATGAAGGATTGCATATTTTACACTGTGAACAGCAAGCTGGTAGCTGGCTACTTTAACAAGGCTTGTTATCTAACAGGATTAAGTTATCAGAGGAAAGATGCATAGTTTTCTATGATGTTTCTGATTATTTTGGTAGTAGAAGAAGGATATTTCTATTCAGAAAAATTGTATACTTTTTAAAAACAAAGTTTCTCACTTTGAGAGCTTCTCACTCAGTATTTCACATCAGAAATACTAACATAACAATCTTGATTGTTGCCTGATGCATTTTATTAGATAAATTACTTAAAAAGATAGACCCTGACCTTCAGCACTCACGTCACCATGACTTGTCTACCTCAGTTTGAAAGCTTGGCTAGTGGTTTAAGATTTTCTCTCTTCCTGAAAGACTTTTTGACCAGGTGGTGCTTACCACATGTCTTGATGATACTGTGAACATTTAAACTTCACTGTTGTTCAATCAACTTAAGCTGAATAAAGAACCTTATTGATAGTGAGAAATTGAACTGAAAAACTGGGAATTGGATCTCTCTCTGAGTAGCCAACTGGAAACAAAGTTAGCTTGTATGTCTAATTCTTTTTGTTTAAAACTTGGCCCATTTTGACCTATTTACAATAAATATTTATAAACATGGGGCTTTATGTAATGTTAGGTGTTTCATGATAGAACCTCTGCATGACCTCTTGAAGCAGTGTTTATATCAACAGCCTGAATCATTGACCTAAAATGAACTCTTCTTCTTTTAAATGATAAACATAATTGTTCTATATATAGAACTACACATAGCTCAAAAAGCATGCTAACTGCATGTTAGGTTTGCAGTAAGATTATTATTATTTTAATTACTGCTTGGTTAAAGTTAATGCAAAGAAGCAGAGCTGTGAACAGAATCTGTCTGACTTCTGGGGCAAGTCTGCTACACCAGCACGTTTTCTCTAAGACTGTGATAGAAACTTGTACCATTGAGAGGTGCTGAAGGTGAGAGCAATGCTGCACTGGCTCTGTTTGGGTTTCTGCATTGAAACACTAGTTTGCATGCTTTGCAGTTTGTTTTCCTTCCAGGTCAGTGACTTCAGGAATGTTTTGGTTTTTTCTGCCTTGCATTAAACCTATTGCTTGTAATTGGTTCTAATTGGCTTGTCCTAAACACTCACAAGGAATGCTGTAGGCCTGAAGATGGAGGCACTGCCCTCTTTACCTCAGATCACTCTCCCTGAAGTTCCTGGAGTCGGTGACATTCGTTGGGAATGTGATCAGAGGTTGCAGCCAGCTCTGATGCACCTGTTCTAGGAAGAGACTGCATTATTCTGCACCGGTCTGCTTCTGGATTGAACTAATTAAGTTGTTAAGCAGAGGTTAATGATCAAGCACCTCATGACTTCTATATCTGGAGTAGGATTTAAAAAAAATAAAATCCAATTTGCTCTCTAGCTGTTGGTGTAACCATTGACCAGCGTGGTCCTTTGAAGCTGTGATTTGTGCTGCACTCTGCCAGCTTGCAGAGTTCTGGGAAAAACAGGGCTCTGTTCTAAAGAGTCTTTCCAAGTGTACAGACATAGAACTTTTTTTTTTCTCCCCTGAAACCACAGAAGTGTGTCTGCGCATTCATGTTCCCTCTGAGGCACTGCCACTGCCTGGTGAAGGCGTCCTGTTTCTGTGGGAATTGCAAACACTCCAGTTTGGCTTGGCCTTATTGAGAAGTTTGTTCAATAATTATGAGTATAGGCTTGATACCTGTTCAGACAACATTGCTAACTTTAGTGCTCCTTCAGAGTCAAGCCTGTGTGAGCCAGAGGCAGGGTTCAAGGATGGAGTGTTTTGTGTTTAAAAACCCCACCTGACTAATCTGGAGAGCATGATTGTGATTTCACCCCGGGAAAGTAGGGAGAAGGTTTCATTGCTTCTCTTTGTTTTGTCAAAGAAATCACAGTTGAGATAAGACTTCATTGCAACACATATCACAAGAAAATTGTGCATTACTCCTTCCTCAGAGGCATGGAAGCGATGAGCTGGTGTGACAGAAAATGGCCAGCAGCAAGGGACCTCTCCCAGCATTCCCCAGGGAGTGCTGGGGCCTGGCAGGAGGCTGGTGTCACAGAGGTGCTCACAAGGCCAGGTGCTGTGGGTGGGGCAGGCCGGGCCAGGCTCTGCCAGCAAGTTTGTGCAGTGACTCAGCTCCTTCCTCCTCCTCGTTGAGCTGATGGAGGAAAAGGTGGTATTTAGGGAGGCTGGGATCAGTACACGAAGTGCAGCACAACGTCAGGTGCAGTCGAGTACTGAGAGGTATTGAGAACACACTGCTGTCATCTTACAGGTGTATTAGTGCCTTTGGCTTGAAGTACAACCAGTCCTTCAGCCTGGCTGTGTTTGTCACCCTTTAAACTGTGGGAAGGGACACTGTAGGGTGATGAGTGATCATGAGAGTGTTTTCCTGCAAAAGGCTAAAGCAGGACTGTTTTATGAATGCCTCAGCTTGGCTGATTCTCCCTAATTCTCATTTTCAAGCCCAAATCTGGCTGAAGGCAGTAGGATTTTCACCTGAATGAACGACAGCAGTGAAGTTTAGCCAGGATGTTTCCACAGGAACAGCTGAGGGGAGGACTGGGTTCCCTCAGCCCGCTGGCCTGGGGCAGGGGCTGTGCCACGGGGCTGAGCACTCAGCCTTTGAATCCCTGGCCCAGTCCAGAGCTGGGAGCTGCCCAAGGCACCATCAAAGCTAAGAGCAGAAAAGGTAAAAACCAAAAAACCTGAGGCCCCCCCGGCTCTGCTCCCGCCTCCAGGAGAGGGCTTAGTGGTGGGGAAGGCTGGAGATGGAAGGCACAGATCAGGCACAGGGGCAGGACTCAGCAGCTTGGTGGTATTTTGCCTTGGTTATTAGCCTGCCCTCTCAGCAGGTCTCAGTTTTCCTGCTATAAAATGTAGATAATCACCTTGGTCACTTCTTTAAAGCACACAGTCAGTACTGATATGCAAATTGAAATCAGATAATGTTTTTAGGCCTGTAGGCAGCATGAGCAGTGTCATTCCCCCACCCTGTGAATGCGCATTCTGTGGAGCGCCTACACAAATGAAAACTAGCTCTGATTTTAGTTCAGCAGCGCTAGGGATCAGGAAAGCTACTGTTTGCCTGACCCTGGCTCAGTCTGCCTGCTAAGGATAACTTGGTTTGTCTGTTCCTTAGCACATTTTGTTCTGAGGAGTATCAGCTCAAAAACCTGCTCTGAAGAGCTCTGCAAACAAACCCTAAACCACAATTCTGCACAAAGGGACAGACTTTGCCCTCCCGGATGTGTCTGTTTGAGCAGTGCGAGGCAGTGTGGTTGTGGTCAGGCTCACAGAGATTTTTGGCTGTCTCCATTCTCTTGTGAGTGCTGCATGGAAACGTGGATGATGAAAACCCAGGAAACCCCGTTCCTGCACTGCAGAGGAGTCTTAATGAGCTTTCAGCTTCATCACAAACCCACGGTCCAGTGGAAGAGTCACAGTAACTCCAAAAGACCAATGGGAACTGCAGCCACCAGCTGGAGGTAGAGGAAGCATTTCTAGACAGTCCCGATTGCCCATTGCTCATCTCTTGCTCCCTCTCTTCATGTTTCCACCATGACCTACATTCCTTGGATGTACTTGTCTCCTGATTTGCATATTAATCTGAATAAAATAGCAGCATGGCAGTTTTTGCCCTTTCCAGTTGTTTGTACTATTGTGGGACTCCCCAAATTAAGAGGCTGTTAACAGGGACTTGGCCAGCATGTAGCATGAGCACAAACAGTGTGGTGTTTGTTTGCTGGAGGGGGAGAGCAGGGGCAGAGCAGGACAGCACAGATCAAAAACTCTGCGTCCTTATGAAGAATATTTCTATTCCAGTTTCAAGGTTTATTTCAGCAATTTAGAAGACAAAACAAGTCATTAAGCACATTGACCCTATATACTCTCTGTGTTACCTGGAACCATGCAAAATAGATCCATACTGTTAATATTAGCACAGCTTTAGTACATCTTCTTCCCTTTCTGTGAAGAGAAAATAGAAATGTGCACAATAAAAAGCTGGCAGTGTTCAGCTTTCCCTTTCCTGGTAGAACTTCTGCGCTATGTTTGTCCCAGGTAGGGCATTACTTTTGTTCACCTGGAAGCATGAGTCCTTAGCCAAACCCTAACCACCATTTCCCAAGAGGAAAATCATCCATCCCCATCCCTTGAGACCCTCCAGACAAGAAGAGACTCCAGCTGAGAAGCACAGCAAGCACCGTGGAGTCACAGCTGACACAAACCAAGTAACGTTCATTTCCACTGAATAGAACCTGATACCCAAACACACAAGGCCTTGATGGGAGGTATTGGGGTGCCAGGCCTTCCCTGGTGTCCTCACCCACAGGCTCCTGCATGAGGCAGATGGTCACACGAAAATGATTCACCAGTACGGTCACAATAACAAACCGCAGTGGTACAGACAGGCTTTCTCACCATGATTTTTGTGTTGTATTTTCTTCCACCACTCTCCCATGGTAGTTTTCCCTTTGCAACAAAGAGCTACAGCTGCAGTCCAGGCTGGGATCAGCTCCAGACCAGACCTCTCCAAGCAGCCGCTGTGACATCAGGTGACACGGACCCTGTGCTCAGCAGGGAGCAGCTGAGACCCAGAAAGGGCTGCTGCAGGCACCAGCCATGCCATCAGGAGCTGTCACAGGGCAGGGGTCTCTGGAAAGATTGTTTCACAAGTGGTTCCCTTTTGAGCTAGTTAGGGATGTTCTTACTCTTCCACCATGGGCTGAACCCATTGGAAAGACCTCTGGGTCTTTATTCACATTTTTAGAAAGGTCTCTTAT